TACACACAAACATACACACAAACATAACACAAACACTACACACAACCATACACCAAAACATACACACAACATAACACAATACACACAACCATACACACAAACATACACACAAACATACACACAAACATACACACAACATACACACAAACATACACACAAACATACACACAAACATACACACAACCATACACGCAACTCACTAAACAAGAAACATAGCCACACTAGGATATTGGCACCTATACAATTTGTTTTCACAACAGTTTCCACACCACTCACACACACGCACAATTGGGAAGGAATTTTAATTTTGCAACCCCCCAGCGCAGAGAGAAGGCATAACGAATAAAAAAACCATTGCATACGTTCGAGGGACGCCAAAACCAACGAGCGCAGCAAGAGCTGCGAATTGTGAGCAGGAGCAAGCGCATAGAGCGTAGCAGCCGCCCCCACCATCCACAGATACCAGGACAAAGCGCTTCTCGCCGCCATATGGACCCTGGCAGAGCAACCACCCGCACACACACATACAGAGAGACAGCGACCCACCCAGTCGCAGGGAAGGTATCGCAAAACACAACAAACCGTAAAGCATTCGCGCCGCATCGCGTGGAGTCGCTGTCGCCGTCGACGTCGTCGTCGCAGTCGCACTCGCAGTCACAGTCGCAGCCGCTGCGCTGCCAGCGTCGACCATAGAATGGCATGGCAGGCACACGGGTAGGATGTGAACTGTGGGCCATGAGCGCACTGGAAGGCAGCTCCAGTATCGTCAACTGCTTCACTTCCCAGCAAGCTCTGCCACTACACAAACAAAAATTCGATTTATGACCACTATAATCGTGGGGCGGGTGGACACGAAGAGTCTCCGTCTCCGTGTCCGAGTCTGGCTTTGGCTCTCGCACAGACTGCTTTCTGGGGGGGTGGCGCTATTTGGCTGTATTTGCCAACCCCAATCCCATTCGGCGCTGACTATGACAGCAGCGGCGGCCGTCGTGGCAATAACAACAACGACAACGTGGATACGGGGACAAAGTTATAGGCGTAGGCAACGCGTAGATGAGAACGGGTAGTGGTAACGGCAGGGGAGAAGGCGAAACGAGCACGAAGGCGACTATACAGTACTTGGCGCAGATGACGATGTGTGGCGGCAAAATGCATTCACTAAGCAAATTGTACTTCGCATATCTATTTCATTTACTTGATTGAATTTATGAACTTATAATAATCATAGTTGGGCTTCCAAACCGGTAAAAAGACGAAAAAATTAATGAAAATAATTTCTTAGTTGTTTTTTTAAATTTAAATTTAATCGAAAAATATTTTTAATTGTCACCATGCTTTATCTTGCAGTGTAGTCAATAATATCCTCGTCCTGGCAGTCATCGTTCTCGCTGTCTTCGTCATCTAAATTCGCGTGTACAGGCCGACCCACCCACACACACACATATATATACACACTTACAGAGGGAGAGAGAGAGAGAGAGAGAGCACATGTACGACGGTTGTCGGTTGGACTGTCTCTCCACAGAGACGACAACAACACCGCGACTTAGCTGAGCTTTCGAACTGCGAGAGTCTGCTTGCCTGCCTGTGTGGCGTTTTGGTGGCGTCGCTTGCTGAAACTTTTTCACACTCCTATACGCACACACACACACATTATATATATATATATATATATATATATATATATATATATATATATATATATATATAGAACAAGCGCGCGCAGGCACAGACATAGACATAGAGAAATTGCTGGAGCTGCGGCAGCGAAGCGACTGCGGCAGCGAAGCGACTGCGGCGGGCGACAGCGACGATAACGATGGCTGCGACGAGGACATACACATAAATAAAAAGTCCTTCATTCCGACGCGACCAGCGAGTAACGGCATATGAACGCTGCGGAGAAAACGCTCGAAACAGGCAGTAAATGGCAAATTACCAAACAACAAAAAGACCTTTAAGTATATACATAAAACAAAAAAATTACAAGCACCAAAAACTCAATTACTAAAGAAAGAGCATTAGAAAAAAAATGCAAAAATTACTCAACATTTTTTTTTAATAAATTCTTTTGAAGTGCGTGCAGAATCTAGTGAAAAGTGTATTACATCAAAAAGAGTTACGGTAAACGAAGCGAATTTAAAACGCAGTAAGCAAAATTACAAAAGGTGCAGTCGCAGCGTCTATCACTCCGCTGCCCAGCACATTTACACACATTGAGTGGGTGCTATATCGCCAGACTCAGACAGACACACACACATATATGCCGTTATAAGGAAAGCGAAAGACAACGCCAAAATAAGGCGAAATAATTCTCGCATACAGCAGCAACAACAACAAAAAATAATAAAGCAACTGGCTCCCTCTCACCTCTTCATTCTCCTTTCTCACTTCTCCATTCTACCATCCTTGATTTCCATTTTATTTTTGCTGCGTGCAAATGTTTTTTAATACATATTCTTCATCTTCTTTTTTTCTTACATTGTGTATTATTTAGCGTCTGCTCCGTAGTTTGAGTGGGCGTAGCTACAATTGGCCAACGTCGGTGTCTGAGGCAATTAATTCATAAATATATCGTATGCTCACTTGCCCCAGCATATAAAAACAAGACAAATATTTGAAGTGAAATAAATGCATGCAGCTAAGAGAAAAAACCAAAAGCAGCGGTAAAAAATGCACAGCGTTGCCACACGCCGCAACATAACGCACGCAGGCAACATCGAGCAGCGAGTAACGGGACCTAATTTCCAACGAGCTTTTCGTGTTCTTTGATTTCTTTTCGTCTTCATTTTTCTTCCTTTTTTGCCCTTTTGCGCTCACTAATTTGTGCTGCCTTTGCTGCTCGCTCGCTCACGTTGCGTTGCCAGCGTTAACGCCAACGTCAACGTCGACGGCGCAGTGTGTGTGTTTGCATGTGTGTATTTCTGTATAGCTGCTGTGCGCGGGTGTAGATAAAGCGACATTCTGCATAACATTTTTCTTTGTATCTTATAAAAACAGGCTACTAGCTACAATTGCAAAAGCAGTAATAACAACAACAAGAATAACAAGAATATTAATAATAATAATACCATAAGCAATAACAGTGCAAGCAATGCAACATCAACATCAACAGCAGCATCAACATCAACGACAGCAACAGCGAGTGTAGGGGGTGTGTGTGTGTGTGTGTGTGTGTGTGTTTGTGTGTGTGTTTGTGTGTGTGTTTGTGTGTGTGTGTTTGTTTGTGTGTTTGTTTGTGTGTGTGTGTGTGTGTGTGTGTGTGTGTGTGTGTTTGTGTGTGTGTTTGTGTGTGTGTTTGTGTGTGTGTGTTTGTTTGTGTGTGTGTGTGTGTGTGTGTGTGTGTGTGTGTGTGTGTGTGTGTGTGTGTGTGTGTGTGTTTGTGTGTTTGTGTGTGCGTGTGTGTGCGTGCGTGCGTGTGTGCGTGAGAGTGTGTGTGTGGCTGTGTGTGTGTGTGCGCGCTTGTGCGTGTGTGTGCAGCTCGCACGCGACTTCTGTTTGTGAATAATGAAGAAGAAGCAGAAGCAAAAACAGCAGCAGAGGCAAAGAGAGGCGCCAAGAGAAGCATCGCCAGCAGCAACGGTGGTAGCGGCAGCGACAGCCAAGGTAGCAGAGGCCGAGAGAGGCGTCGTTAGCAGCAGCAGTAGTACTTCGCGACGCAGCAGCAGCAGCAACAACAACAAATAGCAAAAACTGTGCAGCGTTCGGCAAAGCGCAATACTAACAACAACAACAGCAGCAGCAACGATATCATCAGCAGCTACAACAACAACTTTAAAGCGCTGCCATACCGAAACGCCACTTAGCGTCGACGGCAGTAGCAGTCGCAGCAGCACCAGCAGCACATGCAGCAGCAGCAGCAATAACAACAACAACCAAAAAAGCAGCAAACTAAATACAGATGCAAATATGTCGAAAGCATCGTCAGCAACATCAGCAGCAGCAGCAGCAGCAGCAGCAGCAGTAGCAGCAGCCAGCAGCAGCAATGCAGCCGATTTTAGCGCATTTGATTTTAATGATAGCTCTGATAATTCCGATACGCCTTTAGTGCCACGAGCGCCATTTCTCAGCCGCGCTGCCGCTGCAGCTGCGGCAGCAGCAGCACTCAGCGCCAACAGTAATAGCAGCAGTAGCAGCAGCAGCACCACCAGTAATAACACGGGCAACAACAATATTACCATTGGCAACAACAACAACAACAACATCAACAACAACAACAACATCATCAACAACAACAACAACAACAACAACAACAACAATGTCAATGGCAATGGCAACAGCAATGACAATGGCAATGTCAATGATAATGCAACTGACTTGCAGCACAACACTAACATCAAAAGCATCAGAAGAAGCAGCAGCAGCAGCTCGCAAAGCAGCGACGAAAGCAACAGCGACGCAACAGCAGCCACAACGGCGGCTGTTGCTGCCGCTGTCAATGCATTGCACAATGGCAAACAGCAACAGCAGCAACATCATTACAATAACAACAATAACAATAATAATAACAATAATAATAACAATAATAATAATATTAATAGTACTAATAATAACAGCAACAGCAACAAACAACGCGATCGAGCAATGGATGATGAGGAGGAAGATGACGAGCAGCTTCTGGACGAGGACGAGGATGATTACGATGATGATGACGACGACGATGATGATGATGATGCTATAGATCAGCAACTGTCCAGCAATAACATGAGCAACAGCATTAATAGCAACAAGAACAATAACATTAACAATATGCATAGCGTAGCCGCCGCCCCAGCACCACTCACGTTGCCTGCCGATTTGCGTCATGGACTCCACTCTCGTGATCACAGCCAAGCGGAGCAGCCGGACTATGATGACGAGGATGAGGACGAGGATGAAGACGACGATGAAGATGAGGATGTGGATAGCCGCACAGCGTTGACATCGGCGCATACCGAGAGCAGCGGTTTGCATATGAGTGCAGTGGCCGCTGCAGCAGCAGCGGCAGCAGCAGCCGCCGCTGCCGCAGCAACTGCAGTTAAGCTGAATGCAGCAAATGTGACAGCGGCGCAGCTGGAGAATGCCACGGTGCTGGATATGGTTAATAATGCAGCTAATCTCGGCATGGGCAGCGGTGGCGGAAGCAACAGTATACCAGCGCCGAGCAGCAGCCTCATAGGCGGCAACAGCAATACCAGCTTCTCCACCAACAACAACAGCAGCCACGCGCTCAGCTCAACACTAAGCAATGCCATCAACGAGCAGCAGCAACAGCAGTTATTGCGGCGCAGCAGCAATTCGCATCATCATCACCAGCAGCAACATCAACAGCAGCAGCACCACAATCACCACCACTTGCAGCAGCAACACCAGCAACAGTTGCAGCAGCAGCCATCAAGCAGCGGCAGCGGTAGCGGCAGCGGCAGCGCTGCCAGCGAAAGACGCAAGTATCGTCATCAGAATTACAGCAAAAACATTTACATTGGCACGAAAAACGCCGAGAAGTGGGAGCACATGCGCACACGACTGCACTTCAAGAATGACGTCGAGTTCGTGGCCTATCTCCTCAACCTGGCCGACAACGATACCGATCGCCTGAATAAGTGAGTTCAACTCAAATCAAACACAAGCATTTCCCAAAACTTGCGAGCAGACACATCTAGACTATAGACACCCTATATATTATCTGGTACGAGCGCACGAACAGTCGCTCGTTCATTCACAGTTGTAGTTGAATATAATTAATTTTATATTTAATGCCCCAATAGGTGGAGCTTATAATTTATAGATCTACCTGTGGAGTAGCTCAATAAATGAGCTTTCGTGCAGATATACCTGCTGATAATATGCCTATTCCTTATTTGCATTTCTATCCTTATCCAATTTCAATCCATTTGTATTGTATAGGCTTATAGACTATAAAGCTTAGTTTACATGAGCAGAATACAGTTGTCTAAGCTATGTGAATAGCTTCTGGCAATCGGGAAGATCAGACTTTGATTCAGCCTTAAGATAGTTGAAAATTTCCGGACGATCCTATCGAAATTCAACGTCCACAAGAATCTAAGACCCAAGCTTAATATATACTGAACATTTTCAAATTGCAATATTATTGAAAACGATCACTGCTATCTAAGCTGGTGCAAGTTTAAATTGAAGCCCAATTTCAAATCACTTCAGCAGACTAAACGTTATTTATTTGATAGAGTCGCCAGATTTACCTGCAAAAGGATATGTGTACCATAGATAAAGAATTGTAATATTAACAGAGAGAGAGTGGCAGAATATAATAAAGCGGTTATATGCACATCTTGGACAATAAATTTGTTGGATGGATCGTGTTTGCTTAGGCTCCTATTGAAAAAGAAAAGCAAAAACAAAGAAATGAAACTGCTAATCTGAATTCATCTCGCTCGAACATGCGAGCGACTCTGTTGACTCCAGGGTCCTATCCTCATTACTTGTTAGCGAATCGATTATTGAAGTCGAAGGCTGACCCCAATTTTCAGATGTGCTGACGAGGAGCCGTACTTTCGCTATAATTTTATCGTAGAGTTCGATGGGCACCGCCACTTTCAATTTGCATAACAATATATGCGGATCTGCACATATCATGATCGCGTTAGCGAAATAGTGCACAGCTCTGTCCCAGTCCTTGCTGCGCACACAAGTCTCGCCTAGGTACACGTGCCGCAAAAAGTATTCGACTACTTCAGCGTTTAGCGGGGGCTTGCGTAGGGCGCATTGTGACAGCTCACGCTGCCGCCGCTCGTGCACCCGCCGCTTGTATTGGGGATCTCTGCGCCGTTTGTGATCAAAGTAAATGCAATAGCTCACAAGTGCAAGGGCTGCCAGACCAACAAAAACTACCGTCTGGCCACTTAATTCAAACATTTTTTTCTACACACTTTACTTCAAATTTCGTCCTACACAACTTTAAACCGTACCAAAACTGAATAAAAATATGTTCTCAATTATATTTTTTGAATGAAAAATATAGTCAAGGCTTGCCAAGTTCGAGCAGCCAACTATTGTCCATAGATTTATAGGACATGTTAGAAAAAAACCTTTTAAATAGTCCATTAGATATAGAGCCCTTATCAACTCGATCGACTAAGAAAGTTTAACTGCAAGTATATTGTTAAGTGGTATTTAACAAAAATTTCATTAAACAATGTTCACAAAATTTGCGATCTATATAAATTGGAAAAGTATGAAGCGACTTACTTGTATAAATAAAGAAAGCTTGATATATCTTCAGTTTTTGACAAAAGCAAGTATTTATTATTTTAAATTTAGATGAAATCTGTTAATCTGGAGATTATTAAATGTATCTGTAAAACCAACAACAACGCTTGGATCACAGACAATTTATATCTATTATTTCAAATATATATCGATGAATGATTAACTATATCAATTTCATTCCAATTACAAATCTAAATATGTAGCTCCTAACGGTGGGTGGGGCGAGTTGCATTAAGGCGAAAGGAGTTGAATATCGTTCAACACCGCATATCAAACACCGCAATAGACGACACAAGATATGGCGATGCTGTGTTGCCCAAGATTGTTGATAGGTGCAACGGCACAAACATACACACAGAGATACAAATGTGAAAAGGGAAACAGCGGGAGATAGAGAAAGAGACATGTTTTTGGGCACAACTTGGCAGCACTGCTGCAAATTTGGGTACTTTTTCGCCAGTTCTAGCGGCGTGAATTATAGCTTTATTTTAACACCTCTACTGTCAAAGATCCACAGTTCTTTTCAGATTACCTGACAACTTTCCAATTCAAATTTACTTTAAATGTCAGTTTCTAAACTTAAAGAAGTGTTAAGTCTGAACGCACCATCCTATATGTTAAGGAGGAACATTAAGCTTGATTTGCTCCCAGTCTCTTATTAAGTCGAAATTTAAAAATGAGCACCTTTACAATTTCACAATTAAGGCTTAATTTATAAGCCTTATTAATTATTATATTTTTTAAATAAACGCTTAAATTGCTATAATTTTAAAATACCTGAAAATTACGTAACACACGTAAAACTGTTTTATAGTACGGATTCTACAATAAGAAAATTTCATAGCATTACTTGATTAGTAATAAAAATGGTCTTGATATCATATAAATATTTTACCAACAGTCTTAAAAGTCTTGCTTGCCTTTTCCTACATTCTTTAACAAGTTAATTTGGCGTGTGCAAGCCCTGAAGAGTGGAAACACTGCTTGTGACCACGTTGGCAATGTACTGCGAATTGTGTTGATAGGAAGGCTAAGTGCTGGGAGGTGTGCGTAGCGGCACAAATGGAAGCGATGTTAAAGCGATTTACGCCCGACTGCATCAGACTGCAACACAACCAAACCACCATCAACCCTTCCCCTTCTTCGCCTCAGTTTCACTAAAACCTACAATTCACTGCGCTGCACCCAGTGTGCTCCGCAGCTACAAAGGCGCAAATGCAGCATCCATGCGGTTGCATGCAACGGCGCTTTCATGTTGCCTGTGTCGCTAACCGAGATGCAGACGGAGTCGGAGCCGAAGCCGGAGCCTGATCCTGAGCCTTAGCCGGTTGCAACAACCGCTGTGTTTTGCGTAGTGTGTTTTCATACCCTGAAACCATTGAAAATTGGAATTCAGGGGTATAATAGTTTTGTTTTATAAAATGTATGTAATCGGCAGAAGGAGACGTGGTAGACCCCATATATATTATAATATTCCTGATCAGGACGACAAGCCGAATCGATTAATACCTCCTGTCCTTCTGTCTGTTCGTTCGTCTGTCCGTATATACCTATGAGAGCTAAAGACTTTAATTTTCTTGTAGGTCCGCCTATAGCAAGCGCATATCAAGTCTGTTTCAAATAATCGATATCTATTTCCGTTTTATTGTTGTTGAGTAAAAATATTATTGAATTTAAATTTTTAAATTATATCAGGATGAGTCTTTTTGAAGTGGCGGTCTTAACAGAGTCCTGATGACCTAAAGTCAGTTTCTCTTCTTTTTTATGCTATATACAATCTATAGAAGATATTTAACAACACGCACGGGTTTCACGGCATCTTCTAGACTGAACTAGACTACAGTAGACTAAACTAGAGTTTCATACTGGTTTTTATAGTTTTAAATATACATTTTTAGCAATAAATATAAGTCACAATATTAAAACCTATAATTACAAATGCGGTATGCTTGCGATACAGCTGTAAAGCTATGCATCGCTAATGCCTTCTGCTCTGCTCAATTTTACGGAGTCATGACAATTTCATCATGTTTAAACCAAGAGAATCTGCGGAAGATAAAAATTAATCTCGATATGCTTATGATTCATCTAAGGTTCCAGTACAGATATAAGTGTGTGAGTGCAGCGTTCTTTCGCCGAGCCTTCCGCCATCGTTCTTTGCCATTGGGCAATACTATTGGATCGACGGAAAAAGTAACACACATGCATACTACGCAAGCAAACTGACAGAAACTCAAGCAATATCGTTGCTGTAGCTTCTGCGGTTGTTGCAACAGCATTTTGCATGCATTTGCATGCCACGCAGCCCTGCATGTGTGGTTGTGTTTGTGTAAGCGTGTCTGCGTTTCATGGCATTGCCATCAGCTGCGCTGTTCCCATCCCCAATACTCGCTTAAACAAACATCCAATAAAAAGGCGCGGCATGGTTTTCTGTTACCTCTGCAGTTGCGGAGTTGCAGTTGCCTTACCCCGCCTTAGCTTTTCTCGATGTTGGTGCTATTGTTAGTCCGCCATTTGGCATCCGAAATATTCCCCCACACACTCAATCGGCAAGGAAATGCTATTAGATGCGTTCAGATTTTCAGTAGATTTCTAATATTTTTCAATCATACTTGCGGATTTGGAATAAGCTTAAATAAATACATTAAATTCTCATATGTAATGTCACGGTCCAAAAAGCTTATTAATCCAAAGTTATTTCTGCATTTTCCCATGTTTTTTTTTTTTTTTTTTTTTTTTTTTTTTTTTTTTCGTTTTTATTTCTTTATTTTGTTGCAGCTTATTGTCTTAGACTCTATAGCGCATTTAGCTCTAAACCTTAACTAATGGGAGGGCAGATATGCCAATTATTCTGCACTTGTAGCTACTATCTTAATTAGTTCTAATATTGTCTAGAGGATGCAATCTCTTCAGTCTTCGCCTATTGTTGTTTATAGCCAGGTTGCTTGCGAGATGGTTAGGATGCGCTGCAAGTCTGTCCGCGTATCTTGAACTGTGTCGCCCAATGAGTTCAGCAACTGTGGGAATTGCTAAATCCCTATGTAAGACTGAGTTTCTTACAAACCAGCTGGCTCCAGTCCATCTGCGTAGTGCTTTATTCTGCAGGGTCTGAATTTTGTTCCTTGTAGTCTTCGCCGAGGAGCCCCATAGAGAGATACCATATACGAAGGTTGGGACAACTATTGCCTTGTAGATGGCGGCCTTGCTGCTGTAAGACAACTTGCTTGAAGCTCTCAGCATCCAGTCGAGGGTTTTTAGCTTGCTTTTGCATTTTGAGGTTACTTGACTTATGTGCGCTTTAAAAGTCAGCCTTCTGTCAAGAGTGATACCAAGGTACTTTACTTTTGAGGCTTTGGGAATAGTGGGCCCCAATGCAACGCTTGGGCAATCTCCTCTTCTAGTGGCGAAGGTAGTATGTACAGACTTTTGTGCATTAATGGTGATACACCACCGTTTTGCCCAGCGTCCGAAAGAGTCCAGATATTTTTGTAGTGAGTCTGAAGCTTCTTGCGCAGATACGTGACGTGATAAGATGGCGGTGTCATCTGCATAGGTCGCTATGAGTACTGCATCTGTACTTCCTATATTTGGCTCGGGAGTTGGCATATCTCCTGTGAATAAAGTATAAAGTGTTGGGCCTAGAACACTACCCTGTGGTACTCCAGCCATAATTGGTCTAGTCAAGGATACTGTTTGCCCCCTTGACACTTGGAAGGTTCTTCCAATAAGGTATGAGGATAGCAACGCGAAAAATGGGGCTGGAAGGGTGGTCCTCACTTTCTGCAGCAGTCCCAGGTGCCAAACTCGATCAAACGCCTGTTTGATGTCTAAAAAGACGGCAGAGCAGTACATCTTTTCTTCAAAGGCTCCAAGGATATGGTGCACAACTCTGTGAACCTGTTCCGGTGTTCCATGCTGTCTCCTGAAGCCAAACTGATGGTTTGGAATGGCCTCCTGGCGTCCCAGATGTGTCAGTACTCGTTCCAGAAATATTCTTTCGAATATTTTGGAGAGTACTGGCAACAGGCTAATTGGTCTGTACGACTCAATTTCTCCCACGGGTTTGCCAGGCTTAGGAATCATCACAATCACGGCGCGCTTCCAGCAGGCTGGAAAGTGCCGGATGCGGAGCATGGCGTTGTACACCATAGTTATGTAGTCTATGGTGGAGTCAGGCAGTGCTCTAAGGACTCTGCCGTTTATTAGATCATATCCAGGGGATTTTTTTGCCTTCACTCTTCTGATGTGTTCAAGAACCTCTTCTTTTGTACATCCAGTTATCTGGTCTTCAGCTGGGAGGGGCGAGAGAACGATGTCTTCTGTTGCTTCGATTTCTGAGGCCTCTGCGGTAATCACCGGCGTGAATTGGTCTTGAAGGTGGTTTGCAAAAGCCTCAGCTTGAGCTTCGTCTCCAATGTGCCAGGAACCAGAAATGCTCCGAATGGGATGACGTCGTATTGGCTGCCGTTTGAGCTTTCTTGTAAATTTCCATAATTGAAACTCTGCGTCAGTGGGCGATTCAGCTCGTACCAGCGCATCGCTGATACACCTCTTTTGAAGCAGGGCGAGAGCAGCTTTAAGATGCATCGTGGCTTCGTTGTACATGGATTTGGCATCAGGCGTGCGTAATCTTAACCAGCGTCTCCTGGCCCATCTTTTGTGTATTAGTAGGTGTTGGGCCTCCAAGGTGAGGGGGATGTTGTACGGAGACTGTTGTCTTGTTTGGCAAGATGGTGGGGCGGC